TTATATTTTTTGACTTTTTGATTGTATTTTATATTTTTTTCATTTCTTTTATACATTATTGTTGTTGTTTTATCATTAACATGAATATATGTAATAAACCAACATCATGATATACATATATTCTAATTAAGTTAATAATACTTTTTAGTAATTATATGATTTGGATTTGATTTACAAAATATTTTAAAACTAATTTTATATATTAATAGAGGAATAAATATTATATATATTTAAAAAATATTATATATATATTTTAAATATAATTTTATTTGTGCTCTATATAAATATTGATTCTGGATCCGCCCCTGGAGGAGCGACGACGAGAGTGAAAGATGGGAGAAATGAGGGAGGCGAGCATGAGAAGTGCTAAAGCACCAAACAAATGGCTGATGTGTGCACATAAGTGACCCATCGGAGCTTGGTTTATTTTGAGCTTCATCACTTCTAGGACTCGGAGGACGGCGTAGAACAGAATGAATACGCAGAAGGAGACGATAGCTGCTCGACTATACTCCGCATTGGTTGAAGCAAAGGTCTTGTGTGTGTACGCAAGCAAACTTATGCCCCAGCCGATGAAAGTACCAATGTGATTGTGCACCGTGGAGGAATACAGAGCCTGTTCATCCGTGTTCTCTTCTCCGGCGTTAGAACTCCAAAGCACATTCATTCCGTTTTTTTTTTGTTTGAATCTGTTATTTGATCCAAAAAAAATCACGTTGTTTACCACGTCGGCTAATCTGTATACTTTGTGAGATCCTCCTCAACATCTTTCAGGTAATAACCTTATGTTTATTAATATACGTATACACACAAAAAGTAGGATTCTTTAATCAAAAAAAAAAAACCTTCTATTGATAGTTTATGTAATACTGTATTGATAGTTTATGTTTAGTATGCATGCCGGAAAGGGGGAGGGGGGTTAATGGAAGTGAAGAAGAGAGGAACTATGAGTTTGGTGATAGAAATTAATACATAACGAATGTGTTTATAAAGAGGATGAAGTGAATGACCTCGTTCTCTTTAAAACCGAATGATGTATAATGGGCTTGTTCCCAATCCCATATCCCATATCCCATATCCCATATCCCATATAGTAGAAGCTGACAAAAAAAGTCATTTTCGCTTTTAGTAGAAGCTGACAAATAAAAGTCCTAATCTCAAAATGCAGATTGGATATAGTGTGGACATACGAAAGGAGTCCCAGGGAGTGTCTACCAGGCTACCCTATGGCAAAACTACGGCCCCATTTGGAAAAAAAAAAATTAGTAGGCTTTAGTTATTTTTCATAAATAATCCCAAATACATATGGTAACAAACTTATTTTTAAGCAAAAAATAATTATAGTAAAATAATTAATATAAATAGAAACAAATTAAGACATTAAAACCAATTGGAAAAAGAAAGCTATAGTCACCGAGTGATGATAAATTTGATGACATCTTATACCAACTTTGAAAAATCTTTAACCCATGGAGAGCATTTAGACATTATCAATAATGAGATAAGCTTTACCCAAAAAAAAGTAAAAAAGTCTATTGAAGTGTTAGATTTTTTGAAGAGCAGCAAAGCTTTTTATTCTAACTCATGGATAGCTTATCAAATATTGTTGACGATTCCAGTCTCTGTTGTATCTACTGAAAGAATTTTTTCAAAGTTAAAATTGATAAATCCATATTCTCCCGAGTATATCACAAAAAAAATTGAGTGATTTGGCAATTTTATCTATCAAAAGAAAATTGGTTAGAGAAGTTGATTTTGAAAGATTGGTTAATAATTTTGTGGGAAGAAAGGAAGAAGAATTATGTTTTGAATTATTATCATGTTTAGTTTTTTATTTATTATATAATAATATTTATTATATTAGATATTTTTAATTAATTTTTATTTTTGTATGATAAAATTTGTTATCGCCTATGGCATCAAATTACCTTGGCACGGCTCTAAACATGACCACTTTAGGCACTTGCCCAAGGGCGGATCCAGATGATGATTTATTTTTTAGGATTTACAAATGACTTGTTCATGGCTTTGCAAAAAAAGGATTAAAATATTTTGAATGATATGTCATTGGTGAAATCGACAAAGAGACAGTTCCAGAGATTTAGAGATGAGTGGCATTCTCTTAGAGATGAGTGGCATTCTCTGAATAATTAAGGTTACCTCTTTTTGTGAGAAAGTGAAGTTTTCTCCGGGAAAATGTAAGAATATAGAGACGGAAACGTACCGGAAAATGGGGGGGGGGGGGGGGGGGGGGGGGGGTTAATGGAAGTGAAGAAGAGAGAAAATATGAGTTTGGCGCTGGGAATTAAGAACTATTATATGTTGGAGTTTTTTATAGACGGATCAATGGCTGAAATACCATTACTGACCAAAATTCAATTTCATATGCTATCATTATAAAATTTTTTTTTTAATTTATTTTTAATACAAAAAGTGTGTAAATTCAATTTTGTCCTTCAAAAATCTAAGAAATTACAAATCTTTTTCCTAACTCCAAATCCAAATCCAACAAAAATAACCCTAGTTTTTTATTGTCTTCAATTTTACACCACTGTAAATCGGCTCCTCCGCATCGCTTCCTCTCCGATTCCTCTTCTCTCTCCTTCTCCTCCACATTGCCTCCTCTCCGATTGAGTACTCTCTTCGATTCCTCTTCTCGCTTCTTCTCCTCATCATCTCCTCCTCTCTGATTCATTTTCTAAATCAGATCACTTTTTTGCCTCTCTTCTTTTGCTCCTCTCTGATTCGTCTTCACTATGTTCTCCTCCGCATCGACTCCTTACCGATTCGTCTTCTCCTCCGCATCACTTGTCTGATTCCTCTTCTCCTTTGCATCTCTTCTCTTTATATCGAGAGTTTGATTTCTAGGTAAGCCTCCAAACTTTGATATCTTCTCGGCTTATGAAATATTCCGTTCTTCTCCTCTTGTCGCTCAGTTGGGATTCATTATTGATGTTGGTTTGATCATTTAATTTTCAGAGATGGTTTGGATGAGAGGCAGTCAATACAAGACATGAAGAGGAGTAGGTCGTCCAAGAAAGAAGAAGGAAAATGAAGAAGAAACCTCTTCAAAAAGATTAGAAACCGCTGAACTAGACGTTTCTCCTCCTGAAACCGTCGCAGCAACCACTGCAGTGGACGTTCTTTCTCCAAACTCTCCTTCTCTTGAAACCGTCGCAGCAAAAGAAACAAAGGAAGCTGCAATGGATGTTCTTCCTCCGAACTCTCCTCCTCCTGAAACTGTCACATCAAGAAAAACAAAAATTAGAAAATATAATTTTATTAATATATAGTACAAAAATTATTTTTTCAATTTCCCAATTATCAACGATATATGTAATAAATAAATTAAAATACTGGCCAGATAATATCTGAAGGTATATATAACAATGTATTTGTACTCAGCCATCACTACAATATTTGGCCAAAAAACAAAAATAGAATTTTGTAGTAGCCCAAAATAATCAAAATTTTCCAACATATAGTGAAAACTTCTTCTTTTTTTTTAATAATTTTTAATAAATTTTATTTCATGACAATAATAGTAGAATACATTGTTGGATACAGGATACAGGATACACGATACACGATAATACACGATACACGATACACGATACAGGACAAAGCGCAGGAAAATTCTTATTTGTTGGAAGTTGCAATAACAACAACGAGAAAAAAAAAAATTGTCAGTATCTTGGTTTGGTCTCTTTGCCCGGTTTGGTCATTGGTTTAATGTCTGACCAATTGCTATCTCATCAATTTACAACCAAAAAGTGGATCAAAAGCCCCGTAGTTGTGTTCTCGCCGCCGAATTACGATTTCTCTGCATCCACCACCGAAATCTCCGACGATCGATTCTTACCGTTCCGCATAATCATCTTCCCGGGTAAAATACACTTCCTTCTATTGCCCCGAGATTCAGACAAGAATTTATTCATTCAGAAGCATATGTGATTCTATCTTCTGTGGTCAAATTTGGCTCCCGTGGTTTCGTTTTGAAAGCGATGATATCGAAAATGAAATCTAAACGTTTCTTCTATAGACAGCTCAGAGGTCTTCGATTCAGTTCTTGGTTCATTGAATCGTTACTCTATTTGTAGAAATCGTCGATTTCGTTTCTACAAGATCGTAAAAAGTCTCAATCTTCGCCCCAATTTCTCGTTGACTCCTCTGCTTCTCTATCCCTTTTGTTGACTCCAATCACAGTGTATGTTTGTCAGGTGCTTTTGAGTCATCTTCCTCTTTGGCCATGGACACAACAGAGCAAGCAGCAGCAATCAAAGAGATTACAAGTAGTGATGAAATTTCATCAGTCGAGATCAAAGTGTTGTTATTCGCTAGAGCTCGTGAGCTCACGGGCGTGCCTGATCTAACACTGAAGATGCCATCAGGTAGCACAACAAAGAAATGTATGGACGAGTTAGTGACCAAATTTCCAATGTTAGAGGAGGTTCGTGGCTGCGTTGTTCTTGCTTTGAACGAGGAATACACAACTGATTCCGCCATTGTTAAACACAGAGATGAGTTAGCCATTATACCTCCAATAAGTGGAGGCTAATGCATTTTGCAAAAGTTTGTGTTTTTCCATTGGCAATAATCTAAAAAATGTAACAGTTAAAGTTTGAAACTTTTGTTCTAAACAAAACAGAAATAAAGGTTACACTTTGCTCTGTTTCTCTTTCCGTTGATCATTACAGTGACTTATTCATCTCGATCTTGTTCTTTCTTTTCGGAATAACAAGATCGATCATCATTAATCATTCTACTGGTTTGTATTTTCCATTTGGCAATAATCTAAAAATGTAACAGTTAAACTTTGAAACTTTTGTTCTAAACAAGGCAGAAATAAAGGTTACACTTTGCTCTGTTTCTCTTTCCGTTGATCATTACAGTGACTTACTTCATCTCGATCTTGTTCTTTCTTTTCCGAATAACAAGTTCGATCATCAATTCATCATTAATCACTCTATTGGAAAAAGAAGGAATGTGTGATCACTAGCTTAGTAGCGACGTGGTCTAGAATGGTTGATGCTATCTAGTGCTGAACCAAGAACCCTTCTACTGTACTCCAAACTCGCTCCATTCGAGTGCGTCGATACTCCTGGCGGAGGCGGCTCTGCGAAAAACGGACCAAAAGTTCATTAAGTCTCATACTTCGAAAGGTTCCTCTCTAATACGATGAGGTATTGTTTTCGTAATCTATGCTGAATTTAGTAAAGAAGCAGCTTTATTCTCACAATTCAGCAGCCAAACTCATGATACATTGAGACAGCCATCTACATTTGGCTTACTTCTATCAATGTTTCAAGCTTTTCGTATCTAAGAAAACTTTTTATCTAGTTGTTTGTTCCATTAAGTCCAATACTTCGAAAGACGAATTAGACTCACCAAAAGGTTCCTTTTACATATAACATGTGTTGATTTCGTAATCTATACTGAATTTAGCAAAGAATCACCTTAACTATCACCAATCAGCAGCCAAACTAATGATACATTAAGACAGCCACCTTTTTTTATACGAAGATGAATTGATTTCGTAATCTATGCTGAATTTACCCAAAGAAGCAGCCTAATTCTCACAACTCAGAAGCTAAACTAATGCTACATTGAGACAGCTATCTAGATTTGGCTTACTTATGCTTATGATTCAAGCTTTCGTATCTAATATGTTTGTTCCATAAATCAAAGAGGGATAAACAACAATGAACAAACCTTGACTGTAATCCAGAGGAAGAGGAGAAGGTGGAGAAACCAATTGTGACGAGAATCTCTCCGTATGGTGATGAGCTCTATCAGAATGCTCGAAAGACAAAGACTGTGGTCTTGCTCTGTGGCCGGAATTCACACCGGAGAACGAATTTGACTGTGCTTTGTCCTGTCCAGATATCTAATTTCACCAAACATTCTCCAGCAAAAATCAGCAACACAGATCAAAGATAACAGTAACTATAAGAGGCGAAAGTGGATACTCACGGCGAATTTAAGAGTTCTATTGTAGAGAGAAACAAGACCGGAGAAGAGCTTGACGGCGTAATCGGCGATTTCTTCAGTCTCATACTCGGCGAATGCAAAGCCTTTGGGTTTATCGGTTTCCTTGTCGCGAGGAATGTGTAGATCGATAACTCTTCCAGCTTGAATCAAGATATCATACAGAACCCTATCACTCACTCTCTCGTCTACGTTCCCTGATTGAAATTTAATTTTCGGCAAAATTGAATTTACAATAAAATTTATCGGAAGTTTCGATAAGATTTAAGATCGATGGAAATGTTTGAAAGGAAAACTTACCTACGTAGACGGTGCAATTGGAATTCCCAGACATTGGAAGCTATTTCGTAGATTAGAACAATGGAAACCCTAAATTAAGAAGATGAAGAAGCTTCGTTTACGTGAATGATTGAAATTGAGAAGAAACTAGAAAGAGAAGAAGAAGAAGAAGAAGAAGAAGAAGAAGAAGAAGAAGCAGCAGCAGCTTCAAGGGCCGAATTGTAATTACCTATGGGAAAAATAGATTTCGATCTAGTGGTTTCGGTTTAATTCGATCGTACTTGTAAATCTGACAATCCTTGAAAACCGACGAATAAGAAGACCCGGCGAAGTCTCACACACTAAACCAGATCTAGACCGCAAAAGCCCAAACGTTATAGCCAGCAAAAGGAGAGCCAGAACAAACAACACCTACCTACACCATGGTTCTAATTGGTAACACTTATGGAATGGTAGAATGGTGGAATGGTGAAAAAACATAAAAAAGCAAGAATTTTACCAATTAAAAAAATCTGCGAAAAAATGCAAAAACGCAAGATCTGCGGAATTGCGTTTTTACTTACAGAAAATACAAAAAAAATTTTATTAAACGAAAAAGCGTGTTTGGAGTAGATTATTTGCAGAATTAATGTTTATATTATTCAATTATATAACTAATTATATTTTATTATTTAAATAAATACAAATAAATAATTTAGTATTACAAAAAATTATTTAATAATAAAGTTATATCTATTATTTAAGGTGTGCAATATTTTTTTATTTTTTTATTTATTTTGAAAAACAAATTATTAAAAAGTTACAATTAGAATTATATCATTTTATAATAATTGATTGAATTATTAATATATATATTTTTTTATAATATATAGTAAAAACAGAATATTTTTAAATAAGCATATTCTGCAATTCCGCTATTCCGTCATTCTTCATTTTTTCAATAAATTATTCTGCAATTCATTTTTTCCGCCATTCCGCAATTCCGCGACATAAAAATGTGTTACCAATCGGAACCTATATGTCTATTGTCTAATTTGGGTTTTAGAACGGGAAATAGCGGATTAGAGATGGTAACCTATAATGAAGATATCAAAATATTCACATTAAAGAAAAAGACAAGAAAAATTTGGGACAATGGGACGGGAAATTTTTAAATGGATTTAAAGAAAATTTTAAGAATCGATTTAAATGGATATTTTGAGTAAATTTTGGGAAAGTTTTATGGAAATTTGAAAAAAGTTGGACAATATTATTTACTTATATTTTTCAGAAAAGTTATATATCCAAATGATCCCATACATAATTTGTTTTACTATCGGTTGATTTAATTAAATACTAGGTAATAACCCGCACCCTGTGCGAAGTAAAATAATTGTTATTTATTTATATTTAATATAATTTTAAAATTATATAATATAATATAATTAAATTTATATAAATTTAATATAATATTATACAAAGATAATGTAATAGTAATGTATATTAATTTAAAAATTAAGTAATATGCATAACACATGATATAGATGGATAAAAAATATGAAGTTACCATACAGATTTTCAATATCCTGTAATTGATGATATTATTCATTATTTTCACCAATGTCTAAGATTTGGATATACAATTTATGTACATATTTAATTAATTTTGACTCTTAAATAATTAAATACTATTAATTAAATAGTTTGTTACTTATCTATTAAATATTATTAGTTAAATAAATTAAAACATTTTCTTAGTCCTAAATTGGACTTATTCAAAATATGATACAAATCGATAAGATAATATTTTAAAAAAAAATCTATATAAATATATGGTCCATTAATATCATAAAATAATAATTACCATAATCTTATATAAAAATATAACTATGATCATTTACTAAAATATGAATATATAATGATTTTTTTTTTAAATTGAAATAATGTTATGGTTAATCTATAATTTAAAAGTGAAGTATTTAAAGATATTACTAACTTTTAAAACAAATACAATTTTTAATTAATTATTAATAAATAATTTATTTATTTCCAAACCGATAATTTTATAAATTAAGAAAATATTGAAATCACAATATTATCAATTTATAGAATTTTCACAGTAATTAAATTGATTGATTTAAAATAGACAAACTAAGAAAAAAAAATATGAACAAATCTTGCTGAAAATTTGATACTATATATGTTAAATTAAACATTAATTAAAAAAATAAACAATTAATATTGATATTATCATATTATGATCTCTTGCCAAAAAAAAGTAAGCAATAATGCTATATACCATATTTGTCATCTAAGAATCATATATAAATTAAATCATAATACAATATATCATATTTCCTTATATAGTAAATCTGAATATTAAATAATATATATCATAATAATTTTGAAAATTCATCATTTTCTTTTTAATTGATGTTTGTGATAAAAATAACATATATTTTTAATTTATATTTTGTATATATTATTATGAATTGTTAAAAGATATTATATATGTTTTTACAGTTATTTTCATGCATGCTATAATTATAACAATATGTGAATAAAATCATTATGATTTTCTTTTATTTGTTCTGATTGATTTTTGAGAAAATAAAATATTATCTTTAATTATTCTGTTGTATTTATAAAAATATTTTTAGTAAACAATTAATAAACATATTTTTGAGAAAATAAAATATTATTTTTAATTATTATGTCGTATTTATAAAAATATTTTTAATAAATAATTAATAAACATATTTTCTAATAAAAGTAGTAAACATTAGTAAAATATTATATATTTGTTATGAATTTGAGAAAAATAAAATATTATTTTTTAATTTTTCAGTTGTTTTTATAAGAATTTTGTTTTATAAATAATTAATAAAAATATTTTTTTTTTAAAAGTAGTAAGCATAAATAAGTATTATATATTTTACTATGAATGATAAAAATAGTAAATATTAAAAAAATATTATATATTTTATTATAAATTTATAATAAAAAATATATGGATAGTATTTTAAAAATATTATATAATAAATTTCGTGTATATTATATTTAGTATTAAATAAATTTTATTTTATTAAATTTATTCTAATATTATTGCCTTTGAATTCATTTTAAAAAATAAAATATAACATATTTATGGACCTAAAATATATAATGACATATCATGTAATTAGTCTAGTAATCTAAGTTTTTTTTTTTAAAATAGCTGAGAATGAATATGGGGTTGACACATCATCAAAATGGTACCATTGTAATATTCTACAAATTTAAAGTTTCTCTTTAAAAATGCTTCTCTTTTAATATATAGGGGATTTTCAAACGTTCGATTATATGAACGGAAACAGGTATAAACCTGTTACTTAGTTGTAACATGTAAAGACCGAAATAGATTTTATATCCCGAAAAGAATAAACTGAAATACAGATGGACAAAACTTTTTTTTAGCAGCTAAATAGACAAAATCTTATATGCCAAATCAACGCGTTTTCAATGATTAATAAAAATGAAAATTTTAATAAAATATTTTGTTGCTTATTGTTTTTTTTCATAGTATTAACTATTAAGATATATCATCCATATAGTACATAGATAAATTGAAAAATAAAGAAACTATTTATTTGTCAGATTCACTTAAATAAATATCTAAAAAGATCTCTACAGGATTCAAGAATACTTTGATTGAAGATGTACACAAAAAGGGTATCGGATGCTAGAATCTCTTTCGGTAGATGTTTGTTTGTCTAGGGGTGGGCACAAAAACCATAACCGAAAAAACCAAACTATACCGAACCGAAAAAGTGATATGGTTTGGTTATGGTTAAACCTAAAAATCCGTTTGGCCATTAATTTTTTATAATTTTGGTTTAGGTTTGGTTTGGTTAAAAACCGTCAAACCAAAAGGTTTTTTCGGTTTTTAAACTAAATTTTAAATTATTTATATTTTCCTAGTTTCTTAATTTAGTTTATGTACATATTTTATTATTGGGCTTATAGTTTCCAAGTTTTTTCATCCTAATCATACTTAATATTTTTTTATTTAACGAATATGCTGATATGGACCAATCATATCGAGTTTTTATATCTCATGTGGACGCTCTCAATGTCCTATGCCATCAACTTTTATATATATAAATATCTACATATATATAATAAATTAAACCTTAATTTTTCAATAAAAACGTGATTAATTCTTTATTCTTCACATTCAAGTCTTCTAGTTCTAGTTCCAAGGTTATAGGTATTAAATTTTAATCTAGATTTGTTTATTGTTTTATAATTATTGATTATGAAAGATTTGATAATTTGTTTGTTTCTCTGTTTTAAAATCTGTCCTTATTGATGAATTTGTTATGATTTAGATTCTATTTTTTGAACTTTTTTTTTTTCACTCATAGCAATTATTATTATTATTTCCATTAGAATCAAATTTTTTTGTAATAGTATAATTCTAAAAAAACTGAAACCAAACCATATCAAACCGAACCGTAAAAAACCAAACCATACCGAACCGAAATATATATGGCTTTTACATGGTTTAAATTTTTATAAAACCGATAAACCGTAAAACCGAAGAAACCGAACCAAAACCAAACCAAAAACCGAAGTGCCCATCCCTATGTTTGTCCATGACCAATGCTAAAACAAAATTAAATAAAAATGAGGGGACAAGTGGACGTTATCCTAAGTTTCTAAATAATGGGTGTGAAAGCTTAATTTAAGAACTAGAATCTTAAAAAAAGTCGAATGGTCACAAATGCTCCAATCGTTAGCTCTTACCCGTTTATGGATATTCCTTGAGATATTCATTATTGGACTAGTGTACTAGTGATGATGGTGCCTTTTTATTTAACAAGATATAATTTCAAAGTCCAAAAGATATAGAAGAATGCAGTAACAAACTTTTTCTTACTTTAACTTGTTAAAACTTGGACTAGGAGTCTAGGACATATCGCAAAGTGTCATATTATTAATATGGCAGATGTGTCATATTTTAGATTCAAAATTTGGTAATGAACGTGTATGAGTTTGTAGACGAGTGAAAATAATATTTAAACCTTAAAAGAAATGAATAAAATTACATACAAGGTTAGCTAATAATCCTAATAGGAAAAGAAATGAATCAAGGAAAAATGAGAAATAATTGGCTAAACATATCCCTGATTTTATCATTTCTTGTGCATTCAACTAATATATTCACATTTGTTGTTATATTACAAAGAAACGCAAGTGCAAATAGGCATCAACATATTTATACGGATGGTTTTGGATTTTTCCCTACGAGAAAACATATATATTCGGGATAAAAAAAGCTTTCTCCTATAAGCGGGTGAATAAATTATTGGTGCAAATGAGCATCAACATGATTTTACCATTTCGATTAATATTACCCATTTCCTGCTCAGATTCGTCTGTGCTTTCTTCTTCAACTATTGCTAATTAAAGCATCTATTTGTGAAAAAGAATCGAATATGCTCTGTTCCATTATTTCACAATACCAAACAGAGCTAACAACATACTCATACGACTTCAAATTTCTTTCCTTCACGTCTCTACCTGCAAATAAACAATGAAATACATCATTATACTGAACCCATCTTTCTCAAATCACGGAAAGCAACTGAAGCAAAACCGTATAATTCACATGGAGGTTTCAAAAGGCCATTTTCGTAATATAATATTGTCGAAAACAGGGTTTTACAGGGCTTAATAAGGGTTCTTCAGGATTAGTTTCTTACTTTTAAGCTCTTATTTTAGTATTTAGAGGTTTTGGTCCCCAAACAAAGACGTTGAAGTTCAGTGAGAGATGGCCAAGGCAGAGTCCAGGAAAACATGAGGCTATAGAAACAAGTCTAATGGGAACAAATGGAGAAAAAGGCCTTGAACCACTCATTATTCTCTATTTCTACAAATGAAAAAATACAGAGAAACTTGATTATAAAGGAAACGGGTGATTCTTATTCCACTAGATAATCTGATAATGCAATAAAAAAAATAACCTTACTAAAGAAGATTCTCTTTGAGATTAAGACAGAATATATGTCTTTCCAGAGTTTAACGGTTAAATACATGACGTTGTAATATGCCGTCTGGGAGATAATATAGAGAACCAGAACCACACCAGACCTTTTTCTTTTAACTTTTCCTAAACTAAAATGCTGAAATTTAAATAGCAGAAAAGAAAAAGAGAAAAAGGAGGGACCTTTTGTATGAGATTATAAAATGACAAGAGCTAAGCTGATATACAAAACTAGGCCTCTCTCACAACCCTCTTAGCTGAAGGAGATTCGGGTATGTAAAAGTGCCATAATGTCTTGTTCTATTCAATTGTTGTGTTTATAGTTGTTTATATTAGTTTTGTCAAAGGACTTTTCAGTGCAACAATCAAAGAGATGGCTAGAAATGAGTGGATCAATAGTTACCTGGAAGCTATTCTTGATGTTGGAACTAGCAACAAGAAGAGGTTCGAGAGCAACTCCAAGATCGTCCAGAAGCTTGGAGATATGAATAGGAAAGATCAACAAGATAAGGTGTTTAGTCCCATCAAGTACTTTGTGGAAGAGGTCGTCAACAGTTTCGATGAGTCTGACCTTTATAAAACATGGATTAAGGTTCGATCCTCAATCTATATCTTTATATCAATGATATAGCACAAAAAGATAATGAGAGAATACTGTTAGACATAATCTCCTATACTGTGGAAGTAACCAGAGTTCAAAATAGTGCTATAGATCAAAGAATGTGGGAGATGGTTAGAAACAAGGTACCTTTCACTTCTTGTGGCAGGTGATAGCAACAAGGAATACTCGTGAACGGAGTAACAGGCTTGAGAATATATGCTGGCGTATATGGCATCTTGCACGCAAGAAAAAGCAGGTTTGCTTCCCTTTAAATGATTCAACTTTTTCACCTCTGCATCAGAAGTACAAAAAAAAGGTGAGTTCTTGTTTTTGTTTTTAAAAATCAATCCTTTTTATGTACTTTGATTTCCTTACACAGATTGTGTGGGATGATGGGATTAGACTTTCCAAACGGAGAGATGAACGTGAACAAGGCCGCAATGATGCAGAGGAGGATCTTTCTGAGCTTTCTGAAGGAGAGAAGGAAAAGAATGACGTTGTCACGACTCTAGAACCACCCCGAGACCACATGCCTCGTATCCGCTCTGAAATGCAAATTTGGTCAGAAGATGATAAATCAAGTCGAAACCTTTACATTGTCTTAATCAGGCAAGTAGAGTTTGGTTTATCTGACTTATTTGTACTGTCAAAATGCTCTTCAGACTTACCAGGTGTCTTTGTCTGGTTCCATACTTTGCTCACTATAGTATGCATGGACTCGTGCGTGGAGAAAACATGGAGCTTGGCAGAGACTCTGATACTGGTGGGCAGGTAATGGTACTTGCTTCACGTGTCACTTCCGGTTTTGTTGTTAACTTTTGCATCAACTTGAAGAGTCTCTTGTTAATGGACGATTTAGGTGAAATATGTTGTTGAGCTTGCTCGTGCTTTGGCCAACACTGAAGGTGTACACAGGGTTGATCTCTTAACCCGGCAGATCAGTTCACCAGAGGTTGACTCAAGCTATGGGGAGCCAATTGAGATGTTGTCATGCCCTCCAGAAGGTAGCGGAAGCTGCGGTTCCTACATTATCCGAATCCCCTGCGGTTCTCGAGACAAGTACACAATCAGACAAGACTCGAATTTACACTTCTTAACATTTAGTTTCTCTATACTCATGTTTTTCATTTGCAGGTACATACCAAAAGAGTCACTCTGGCCTCATATTCACGAGTTTGTTGACGGAGCGCTGAATCACATAGTGGACATAGCAAGGTCTCTCGGGGAGCAAGTGAACGGAGGGAAGCCAATATGGCCTTATGTGATTCACGGCCATTATGCTGATGCAGGAGAAGTAGCTGCACATTTGGCAGGAACGTTAAATGTGCCGATGGTTTTAACTGGCCACTCTTTGGGGAGGAACAAGTTTGAGCAGTTGCTTAAACAAGGGAGGATCACAAGAGAGGATATTAACAAAACTTACAAGATTATGAGGAGAATAGAAGCTGAAGAGCTGAGCCTAGACGCAGCTGAGATGGTTGTGACAAGCACACGGCAAGAGATTGAGGCACAGTGGGGACTGTACGATGGGTTTGATATCAAGCTGGAGAGGAAGCTGAGGGTTAGAAGACGGCGTGGAGTCAGCTGCTTTGGACGATACATGCCACGGATGGTGGTATAAGTCCTTTCCCTGCCTTAACACGAGATCTGATAAATGAGACAACACAATGACTATCATATAAACTATAATCAAGTGTAAGTAGAGTCATTCACCGATCTTACATGTCTTTGTGGCATCAGGTTATACCGCCAGGCATGGACTTTAGCTACGTCTTGACACATGATTCACAGGATACTGATGCAGATCTCAAGTCACTAATTGGCCCTGACCGGAACCAGATAAAAAAACCTCTACCTCCAATATGGTCTGAGGTACTTTTGTTTTTCAGTGTCGTGTCATATCCAATCTCCTGCAAGAAAAAAAAAGTTATTCAATCAGTGTAGCAAATAAATGCATGAAACTTATTATATGCAGATAATGCGGTTTTTCACAAATCCTCATAAGCCAACCATACTTGCGTTGTCTCGTCCTGACCCCAAGAAAAATGTCACTACATTGCTCAAAGCTTTTGGTGAATGTCAGCCTCTTCGAGAACTAGCCAACTTGGTAAGGAATTCTCAGTGGAATGACAATTTTATACGAAGATTTTATATGGGCACAATGCTAATGGTAATAAACCTGTTCCAGACACTCATACTAGGAAACAGAGATGACATCGAAGAGATGTCTAATAGCAGTTCAGTTGTTCTCATGAATGTGCTAAAGCTGATAGATCAGTATGACTTGTACGGCCAAGTAGCTTATCCCAAGCATCACAAACAATCTGAAGTCCCAGACATTTATCGTTTAGCAGCCAAAACAAAGGTACTTAACATGAAGATCCTATAATACAATATGCTCTCTCTGTTTGCTCCTCAGAGATTTTTATTTCCATCATCTTAGATTACTAATTCCCATGTGCTTAGACCCCTGTGGTATTTTCTCCTGAGATTACACAGTGCAAATGATAGTATTATTCTTAGCTATTCACCAGAACACTTAGCTCCCCCTCTTTGCAAATAAGAACTGTAACCATTAAGGTGGCTTTCTCTTTTGAAGGGGGTTTTCATCAATCCAGCTCTGGTGGAGCCATTTGGTCTCACGCTCATTGAGGTAACGTAGCTTCTTCACCTCATATTACACAACCTATGAGATCTTCATGACGAACCATTTGTTGTGCGTATAACAGGCAGCTGCTTATGGTCTACCCATTGTTGCCACCAAAAATGGTGGGCCTGTTGATATCTTGAAGGTAATCAAATCTCTTATTACAAAATCCAACTGCACAAAGACAAAGCCACGTCTCACTGATCCCAGAAAGCTTATTAACATATATGCTTATGTCCCAGGCACTAAACAATGGTCTCCTAGTCGACCCCCATGATCAACAAGCCATCTCTGATGCCCTTCTGAAGCTAGTTTCTAACAAACATCTCTGGGCTGAGTGCAGAAAAAACGGACTCAAGAACATCCATCGTTTTTCATGGCCTGAGCATTGCCGTAACTACCTTTCCCATGTTGAACACTGCAGAAACCGACACCCCAACAGTAGTCTTGACATAATGAAAATTCCAGAAGAACCGATAAGTGATTCTCTAGGGGATGTAGATGACATATCTTTGAGATTCTCCATGGATGGAGATTTCAAGCTCAATGGGGAAGTAGATGCAATTACTAGACAGAGGAAACTAGTCGATGCCATAAGTCAAATGAATTCTATGAAAGGTAGTAGCTCATCTGTTCTCTACAGCCCTGGTAGGAGACAGATGCTCTTTTTGATTAGTGTTGATGCTTACGGCGATAAGGGAGACATCAAAGCAAATTTGGAACATGTCATCAAGAATGTGATGAAAGCTGCAGCTTTGACATCGAGCAAAGGAAAAATAGGTTTTGTTCTGGCAACAGGTTCAAGCGTGCAAGAAGTTGTGGAGATTACAAAGAAATACCTGATTAACTTGGAAGAGTTCGATGCAATAGTTTGTAACAGCGGAAGTGAGATCTACTATCCATGGAGAGACATGGTGGTTGATGCAGACTATGAAGCTCATATGGAATACAAATGGCCTGGTGAAAGTATAAGGTCAGTGATTCTGAGACTTGCATGTACAGAACCTGAAACTGAGGATGGCATCACAGAGTATACAAGCGCATGCAGTACAAGATGCTATGCAATTTCTGTAAAACAAGGAGTCGAGGTAAAACTTTTCCAAAGAATATATCTCTCATCAAGAGAACAAACAGCTTAAATATCTAATGCATACATTCTTTTCTCAAAATCCTGAAACTAGTACTGATCATGTCTATGTGTGTCAATGGCAGACTCGAAGAGTTGATGACCTTAAGAAGAGGCTTCGTAATAGAGGTTTAAGGTGCAGCATTGTTTACACACATGCTGCAACAAGGCTAAATGTTATACCACTATGTGCATCAAGAATACAAGCAGTTAGGTTAGATACCATCAAAGACTAAATAGTTTCTACAACCATATACGCCTAAGTGTAAGATAGTTGTACATTGAAAATGACACATGGGCTTTATGTAGGTATCTTTCAATCAGGTGGGGAATCGACATGTCGAGGTCTGTTTTCTTTCTGGGAGAAAAGGGAGACACAGACTATGAAGACTTGCTTGGTGGCCTCCACAAAACCATCATTCTTAAAGGTGCAGTGGGATCTAACAGTGAGAAGCTTCTTCGCAGCGAAGAAAATTTCAAAAGAGAAGACGCGGTTCCACGAGACAGCCCTAACATGTCCTATGTCGAAGAGAATGGAGGACCTCCGGAAATTCTATCCACTTTAGAGGCCTATGGTATAAAGTAATCTATATTTTTTTTTTAATTTTCCTCTCCCTGCTTATTATAGTATAGATCTCATATACCTCAGTGGATTGTAAACAGTGAGACTACACGATACTTTATACTGCAATAAATAAGCGGGATATAACTTTGCAAGTACATATACTTTACACATTATAAAAAGTTTGATTGCTACCTGAAGGATCATGGTACTCTATCTAGTGATATCGCCCCTTCATTGGCCTATCTTCAACCAACAATGTATTGTTCCTTGTCACATCCGCATTTTCAGTGTAAAGAAAGTCCCTGAAACAAATGGAACAAGTTCTGATTACAGAATTGATCATAAAGTACAATGTTACCATCAATTTCGGATTCCCAAACCAAAATAGATTCTCAATCAACATTAGTATCTACTACGATACGTGGAGACAACTCAACTGCCAATACAACTCAGCCTATGCTCAATCAGATTCGTCTGAACAAGCCAATAAAAAAAAATGAATCAAGAAACTATGAGAGAAGATTTAATAAATTAAGATTGCAGTAATCCGTATCTGTTCCTACAGAAATCATCAGCACTTGGTCCTCCACATCTAACCTCAATCAATTGCACCTAAAATATAATATAAGGCAAGACATTACGACAGAAAAATCCATCCAGTAAATATCAGAGATTGTGGTACTGAAGATAATATATCATTCTTTCAAGAACGCAAGTAGCCCCTATATTGCTTCTTATCGGTCAGATTATTATGCTCATAGTCCATTCAAACAATAACTACACATGAAACTCAGAGAAGATTTTGAATCACATAAATATTCAGCTTCGAGCATATTAAAAGGAGACAATAGTGCTGTTCGTTTGTCAGCTGCGGGTACCTGCGGCTGCGACTGCGGCAGAAATTCTTGTTCGTTTTGTTGACGCAGATACTTGCGTCTAAACGCAGGTGTCAACTGCAGATATCTGCGTTCAAAATTTTTAGACGCCATAGAAATTCGGCGGTGCGGCTAATGTTGTTGCGGTTAAACCGTTAAAAACACTAAATTACCCTTACTATTATTTGTAAATTACAAATAAATGCCATTAAACCTAAACTAAATCCTTTCTTCTCGCCGTAGATCTTCTTCTCCCATACCTCTTCTTCTACCGTAACCTTCATCTTCTATCTTCTATTGGGTTTCTGGGTTTGTTCATTTGGGTTTATAGTTTCTGGGTTTAGTTTCTGATCCCCGCTCAAGCTCTTCTTCTACCTTCCCTTCTCTTTCTCTATCTCTTTAAAGCTGCCATTAGAGGTCTCGAAGAACTATTTGAAGCTTTACTTCCGCTGAACTCTTCTCTCTCTCTCTCTCTCTCTCTCTCTCTCTCTCTCTCTCGCTAATTTGATTTGATCCGATTTGATTTTAGAAATTTCTGGGTTAATAATTCGAATATTCGGATTGATTTTTTTAATTCAAATATTTAAAATGTTGAATGTAGTCGAGGATGCTTGTGGTTTCATTGTTTGAAGTGTTTCCTAAATATGCTTACATCTCCTTCATGTCTTTGCTTGAGTTTATGTATTCGCTGCATCAATCGTCCTGCATATTTACAAATGAACAGTTAGTTTTTGAGAGCAGGGTTCGTTTTTCTTGTGAGTTGACTCTCTTCCCATTTGTTAGATTCTTTGTGCTGCTGACTCACCTTGTTTGTCTATGTGCTGTTGACTCTCCTCATTGCAAGGAATTATTTTTCATTTACAGTGGTTCAACCATCTCAAAGGATAGAAACTTCTTTGAGCTTTTATCTAATCCTTCAACTCGCTTATATCCAGATTCTAGAAAGCTACAAAGAGTCAAAGGTTCTCTTCCATCTACTTCGGCTTTGATAAACAGGTTCGTTGCACCAAGTTTTCTTTTTCTCTTCTCTGAGTTTCTTTGGACAGGAAAGAGAGCCAATAGTATGTGTGTATGTTGTGTGCGAGTGAATTAGGATTCTTCATATTAGAACAGTGTGAAATGAATTAGGATTCTTTCTTCTTTACACTGCCCTGCGATTGCCATTCAATGGTGTTTACACTAATTAATCGTTCTACAAAGAATTATATACTTGAAGATCACATCCTGCTGTTTATATAGTTCCGCTTAGTTCTCAGTTTACTCTTTGTGTACTTATTATGTTTGTGGTTCATTTCACTCATGCACTTCTGTGATGTTATTTTCATTTCACTATAAGTAATTTGCTCCTGCAATTTTTCAGGAAGCTGAGTGCGTGTGACCAGTGCGAGATAGCTCGTAACTCTGTGTACCAGTCTGGTTTCTCACATGCCCTGAAGGTACTTGTTATGTCTCATACACATAATTTAGTATATAGATTGACAAGATGCCTTCGCTTTGCTGCAATTCATTTAGTGTTTAGTATTTTGAGGTTTTGATCTTGTTTTGTTTTCAGGTTTAGAGAAAAAAGAAAAAGAAAAAAAAATTTGATGCAGCGTCAACAAAACGAACAGCAAGCTGCGGCAATGGTGGCGCGCTGCCGCAACCGCAGCTCTGACGCTGACGCTGCCGCATGCGGCTGCCAAACGAACAGGGCAGTATTAGAGTGAAGAACAAATAGCCAAACCAAAAATTCCTTTTTGTTTCTCATTATAAAATTAACTTCTTAAATAGAACTTCTTAAACAAGTACAACAAATGACTACAAAAAGTCACAAAAGAAAAAAATCTGGCAGGAGAATTTTCCAAATTTGAACCAAACAAGATCATATTGGTCACAAGAAATCATCTCTATCCACACAGTCAAAAATACCCTCAAGCAGAATTCGAGATTCCCCAAGGATCATCCTTGAACCAGAATATACATATCTAAATAAACCCAGAAATCACACCACATTGCTCACAATTGATCATCTTGGAGAGGAATCTTCATATCCGAATCAACCCAAACTCGAGTTTTTAAAGAGCAAGATCATCCACAAGGAAGAACAACAGACGCCACAAAAGCACCTAATCTCCGAACTTGAACAAAATCTCCGTCTCTCAACAGTGCAAACCCCATCGTTTCTAGCTCGGTTGAATCAACAGAGAAGTAATCACCACACCTACACTGATGAAAAACCTCCATGGCTTCGCCTTCTCCAGTGATCTCCACCGACATATCCTCGATACTGATCTCATCAGCAGTGATCCCGTCTTGTCTCGAAGATCGAAGATCACTGTCGTAGACCACACGTAGCTCGGTGTCGCTTAATACTGCCCACGCCTTTTGGATCTTCAGAAACTTTTCGTCTGAGCTACAATTAAGCTTATCCGGATGAGAGCGAAGGATAGCGGAACAATAGCTGTTGCGGATTTCTTCGTAGCTCGCCTCCTCTTTCACGGAGAGAATCCTGTAGTATGTCTCGTGGACAGAGGTATCACCCAGAAGCATGATTGTTGAATCCTTCTAAAATCCACGATAGATGGAGATCCTGCGACGGTGAAGACTGATTGGGATAAAAAATTCACCGGCGACGGCGATAAATTTTGGAGGTTGAGAGACCAAAGGGGATTTTATGGGATTCGGCCAGTCGGGTAGACAATTCGGTTTTTCAGAATTGTTTCTCGGTTTAGTTTCATGGAAATGTTATGCAAAGTAAAACCGAAATTTTGATTTTGGTTCAGTTCGATTCGGTTTAAAAAAGTAAAAAGGATTCAGTTAGGATCAATGGTTGAGTCTCGTCAACACACAAATGATCTGATTTATCCATGTTACGTCTTATATTTTTTAACATTTATTTTAAAGGAAAATTGAGGGAATGGTCTTAGATAATTGGAAAACAAAAATTCGGAACTAATAGTTGATATTTTGGTGAAAATATAATACAACAAAAAATTATGACGATAATATCTTTACGTACCGCTCGGTTTTGGAAAGCATTAAATGCGAGATGACGTCAACGAATCTTGTGCTGCCGACAAGGAGATCCAGAGGAAGAAGTTACTTAGGCAACAAAATCGATAAAGGCAGAGAAAGTATAAAAAATTATAAACCTGTTGGAGGAAAATATCTGCGGATCCAGGAAAGTATTTAGGGTGCACCAAGTGGTGGACCTTGCCGTTTCTCTTATTCTTTCCAAAACATATAATTGACTCAACGGTTGCTTTCATCACATTAACTGCAAAGCTAGGTTGTTGATCATGCAATAACTACGCGCCCACTAAGGTAGCGAAACATATAAATTCTAGAGATTTAGTGCACTGATGCTGTTACGGTTGCTTAAGTTACGCTGCTAACATGAATCTAACCTTTTTAGGAAAATGGCGCATTCGGTGGAAGTGGTCTGCGGAGAGTGGATCAGGCATGATGACGGGTGGTGGGAGCATCAGACGGATAGATCGATTCTCAACCACGAAGTCACTCTGAATGAGCATGCAGATTTCGGGACAATGCAACTGGTTGTGCGGGAGAAATTGCACCTGAAATCTCATGAGTAAATAGTGTTGGTATGCTGGTTTGCTCTGCACAGGGAGGCCGCTACGACTTCTAAAAGCGTTCTCACTCGTAAGGTAGAAGAGATGGTTGTTGAGAGTTTTGAGAAATCGTCTGGGTATTTTGTCATGAAGATAGCGGAAGGCATGTACGAAGTGAGAGACTCGGGTGACATTGCATACGCTGTGAATCTTTGGGAGAAGACGTGCACATGCAAGGAGTTTCAGCTCCTATACATTCCTTGTAAGCATGCTATTGCTGCAGCGGTCCAGGCAGGGATACAAGTTGATACACTTGCAGGTGCATACTACACTGTGGATGTGACTAGGATGGCTTACAAATCACTTATAATGCCAGTCCCAGACATGGACATATTAGCCCCCTCTGAAAAAGACGTCGGCGGGGGGAAACTGGCACCGCTGGCAGTATGAAGGCCGCCAGGTCGTACACGTAAGTAACAAATTCTTTCAAGGGGCGAATTCAAGGTTAGCAACGTAGCAAAGTTAACGACGCCCTTGCTCTGACATTCCGACCGGGTACTAACGCCGTTGTATCTTTGTTGGTTAAGAGGGTCAACCACAGAAGATGCACAAGGTGCCGAGGGAGGGGACATAACAAATCCACATGCAAGTTTCCCATTCCAGTAACATTTCGGGCACCGCTAATCTACTACTAGTCGTTGACACGTACTAACAGAATGAATAATTTTCTATCGTAGGAGCCGTGAACGGGGAGTAGTCCAACACAATAAGGTCAAGCGCGGCGGGTTGTGCGGATGGTGTGTCTCTGTATCAAAGTAATCCCCCAAACGAGGTGCTGATAAATAAGTGAAGAAGTGAAAAAAATTCCATGTAAAAT